TCACTCACTCACTCACTCTACCCCGGATCCTAAAGGGCCCCTGCTTCATTAATTAAATAGAGAACTCTAGTTTGCCTTTCTACTATATAGCTAGTAGTTTCTTTGTTTGAACACTCTTGTGCAAAGTGAGTTAAGGTTCTTATTAGATTACAATTCCTTTGGCGTTAATTCGTGATTTGTTCAGATTTTACACAATCGAGTCACCAATGTTGTTGATGCAGTGAATTATAATAAACCGCCAACGCCAGGGCATAAAAGTATCGAGTATTATTATCCACAGAACAATAGTTTGAGGCTTTAAAGACAAAACAGCGGTGACAATTTGAATGGATCACTAAAAGTGATGACACCAGGTGTTCGCGAAAAGGGGAAGTATGTGTCTGCCCTACCGGTAGAATTTGGGTAGTAACATGTTTTGGTCATGACTCGTCGCATTTGGGAAACAGCTGACACACACGGTTTGGACACTTTTGACAGAAATGTTGCCGCTGTGACCTTAGATGCCTACTCATCCTCACACTCAATATGCAGTAAAGTAAATGTTGACACATTTTCTTGAACCACAGTGTTTCACTAGGAAAAACAATTACATCGTACACTTACCGCCATAATGTCAAAATATGCTTTGTGAAGTCACGTGTTCAGGGTGTCGAGTATTGCTTGTAGGTTTCTATCTAGAAACAAAAGAAAAGCGGGGTAAATTTAAGAATGTGAATTGGTTCCTGTCAATTTGAGTGAATGGTTTGTTAAAGACCACTTTAAACAACAATTCAGCAGTTCAGTTGGGGTTATAAGTGGGGTAACTGACAGATGGGGTTTCAAGTCGTCCAAAGCAAGGTGATATGCACAGTTGCATCCTTTAGAAACATGATCGTGTTTTTTTTTAAAAACCACCAGAATCGCCCTGAATGAAATACTGTAATAAGCGGTGTTTATCTCAATTCTCAACAGTAATACACATGCTAGACTTTTAACACCTTGCCGCACGTGTATGGTGCTGGGAAATAATAAATGATACACAGCTGGAATCTGGGCTATGCCCTGCACTGAGGTTTTCGAGGGAGTATGATAGAAAAAGTTCTATCTGAAAAAATATAATGCAATGACCTAACTGACAAAATGTTGAAAAGGGACAACAAGCCTTAATATTTGATGATACTATGTTTATTTGTAACTAACTTTATAATGTAACTACGGGGGTCAATCACAAAGAAATCATATTGCGGTAAACTGGAAATCGCCATAGCCAGGTACATGTAGGTTACAGGTCATATTAACCTAGATACGATCCCTCAGTCATACCTGGCACGCCTACAGACCTACACCATCACGCATGTACTCTCGGATTGGCGTTACTCGGATATTGCGGCTTTTTTACAGCTCGTTGTGATGAGGTAATGCGTGCATGTTATGAGGTACCTGTAATCTAACAATATTAGGGCGGGCTGTAAATAATCGGTTCTGGGCCAGGCAAACAAATGTTTGATACTATGAGTTACGGATTATTTTAAAGCAGGTCTCTTGAGTGTGTGTAGTTTGCACTATCTCGCCAGGCTGGTTATACAGTTTATAATGATATTATATACACAAAAGTATGGAGTGTTGGATTTCGAAAGCAGCTGTGGAACGAACCCGCGAATATGTGCGTATTAGCTCACACACACACTCTCACACACACACACACACACACACACACACACACACACACACACACACACACACACACACACACACACACACACACACACACACACACACACACACACACACACACACACACACACACACACACACAGAGGTTAAAGCTGAAGCCAGATTAATTCGTTTCAAGTTTACCCTGTCTAGTCCAAATTAAACCTTCTATCCCCATGTATAGCGATTCTTTAATCATTACAAATTGTCCCACCTCCTCTGCCCTCTACATTGGTTCAAAGAAAGATATGTTAAATATAGAGATTTTAAAGCATCTCTGCTTTTTCTGATTCCGGAAGTAGAATCAACGAGACACGAAAATTCATGTGATTTCTCTGACTTCAACCGTAATGAGATTGGTAATTTCTCTCAACGATAATGAAAATGGCGTTGAGTCAAATTTGCACGAATGGCCAGTAAATTCCTGGTTCAAAATAGCGTGACGTCACCATTAGGGTGATAATAAAGTGATAACATACAATTCCAGAAGTAGTAATGAACGAGAGTACCGTCCTACCCTAATGTCGACTGGTAGAGAGATTTTATAGAAGGCAACCTACCTCAAGTCGCTGTGTAACTACGAATGCAGAAACGCGTGGAGTTGTGTCCCGGTAATATTGCATTGTGATCTTGTTCATGATAAGATAAGCAGAAAAAGATATGCACTGTGCAAACTTAAACTTTGACCTCGGCGCGATTTATTAGTCTGTAAACCTGACCAATTTAAAACTCTAATATATTATCAGGCAGAAGATAAGAGTCAGTGACTTAAAATTTAACGGCCCATCGGTATTATTTCGGTCATATAGTGACGAGACCAAGTTAAGTTACTCACATTTGAGTAATTTATGTAAAGTAATATTTAAAATCAATTTATGAAACATATTTGAACATAACAATATCATGTATAGAGTTTTCAAACACGGGCTATAGGTCACCAGTAACCAAAGCTAGGCCACCTCGCTTGGGATCATGGGGACTTACAGTAACCCGGCTTCCTGCATAATAAACCCAGCTGGATTTAGCTACTGGTGACTGTGCACAATAATAGCCAATATTAAAAAAGGCTTAAAACACTGGATGTTTATCTGCTCACCAGTGTGTTAAGATTATGTTATACGTTTCGTCAGTAAACTAGATGGGGGTGATTTGATACATTAACAACAAACTGTATTAGTGATTCATTTACAGTTTTCTGAAAACAATAAATAAATATTAATTTTATGTTGAGCAAGCAGCCGCGACCCAAATCTCGATGAGTAGTCAAGATTAACATGCAATAGAAAAGACTTGTCCGTATCAGCCCAGACAGCAATATGGTCCATTTCAGAAAATTGTAACAACACACATGCTGTTCGCAGGAAGAAAACATATTACGTAGGGGCGTTAAATACGTTTTGCAACTTCAATTAGAGGCCAAGTCGCAGAATATCTTTTGCACTTTTATTTTTAAATATAATCTCCATTCACCTCAATACACTTATTCCATTGGTCCTTCAAGCTTTTAATACTCCTTTTATGGAAATCGGCAGATTGACCCTCTAACCATGCCTCTGTGACAGTCTTTTTGTATTCTTCATCCTTGAAGCGCCTACCACGTAGGGCAGATTCCATTTGCGGGAACAGGAAATAGTCACTGGGGGCTGTAGTCTGGGCTGTAGGGTGGATGATTTAACTGTTCGAATCCACATTCACATATGGCGGGCTGTGGCATGTTATCAATCAGTAATATGCCTCTTGCATCCCAAACTATGGTGGCCATTACCTTGACAGCCGATGGTTGAGTGCAAAACTTCCTCGGAGGCGGAGAATTGGGGTGCTTCCATTGCATGGATTCCAATTAAGTTTCTGGGTCCCAATCACCTGTCACTAGACTGTAACTGTGGTTAACTAAAATGAAGGCCTAAACAAATTATGATGTTTAAAGTACAAGTGAAAAGTTCACATAAATGTTTTCTTGGAAAATATTTGAGTTGTTCGAAAAGTAAGCGCTTAAATGTTCACTTGCTAATGTAGTGAGCGTTCATTGTCCTAACGAGCTGTGACTTTGTTTACAGAAACCTGCGTTAGGCATTTGTACAAACCCTAAATATTTCTGTACCGGGACATTTAAGGGAAATGATTCATTTCTAACGTTTGAAATTAAGGTTTGAAATTGTAAATTGTCCAAATTAACACAAATACATGTGTACACATGTAAAAGTAATTAATTTCGTTGTGTGTCGCTACCCCCTACAACATATGACGTAACACACCTGCAGGATTAAAGGTGGGTATGGACACTGATGTAAGTGTGTGCATTTCTCTTACATTTCCAAACTAGTCATACATATAACTATAACCAAATGATTTGGAATGCTTGCAAAATGTATGCATTTTCATCAATACCAACACTTTTCAAAACGTCAGGAAAGATGCTTTTTCGTGTCGTAATTAGGAGACGCACATCAAATAGATTTCTACTATAACTGAACCAACACAAGGAACAATTTGTTTTTACCAAGACCAACATTGAATTCTGAATACTCTTCTTCACTCTCACAATGGGTTCAAAACAAGTCAAGGGTGAAAAGGAACCCAGTGTACTGCAAGCTTTAATCATTTCAGCTATTAACAATATTCACATACATTCTTTTACATTGTACATATGTCAAAAAGTAAGCACAAAAGTAACAAATTTCATTTTAAAAATGTTTGTGTCCTGGCCTTAAATTAAAGCGACAAAAACCCACCTGGTTCGGCACAATGGCAACGGATTTGTTTTACGCCAGTAAGCAATATTTCAGGTATTTAACATCATCTAAAACGCTGATTGGTACAAGTGGCACACAATCAGCCAGCGTACCCACCTCGGTCGCCATTGGCAACACGTAACTAGGGGCCTATTCTGACACGGAAATCCAAGGAAATGAAGAACCTAGAGAAGCAGCAAAATGTAAATCGCTCTGTGACGGGTTAACAGTTGTCCTTCATCCATATCCTGTTTTGAGTTTGAGTCTATATACATTAAAAAGAAATGTTCCGTAATAATAATACTAGGTCTTGCTAGATTTGATCAGCAATTAGACGAACATTGACCAATGACCCAGCGCTTCAAAAACACAGCAGCAGGCAACAGAGCTCTCCACCCATGCCACGGCTGATTCACATTCCTTTCATCAAAATTATCTGTCGACTCAATGTGTGACAATTTGGATCAATTTGGTCTTTTCATGTCAACTGCAAGAAGATTGAAAAGCAAGGTTCTGTTTGATTCAAACATTAAGGCCATAGTGTAATAATTGCCTGGGGTCACTGATTCTGCAGTATCGACAATCAGACTTTATTGCGCAAATGTGAAAGTAACTTGTGGAATATCGTTCAATTTACTTTTCACACAATCCCATTGACTTTGGTAGTCAGGTAGCTTCTTTTTCCATATTCCGTAGAGCACTTGTTCAAGTCTTCGGGGACAGGTGCCTTCAGTTCCTGTAATCCAAAGTACTCCGCATATTCATTAACCTCTGATGCTCTTTCGGGTGGAGGCACATTTCCCGAATCTCAGAAAGTTGAGGATATGAACAAACACATCACCATCTACATCGATGAAACAGCGGCCATCTTTGTCCTTGGCTACCGGATGCCTTCCACTAAACATGGCGGCCAACATGGAGTCCGGGTACTTTGTGAGGGTGGACAGGGAGGTTGTCAGATGTCGACCATCAACGTTTAAGTCCACAACTTGAGAATCCTGAAATACAACACATTGTTAATGCACATGTGATTCTACCTTACATTTAGAAAATACTCGATTCTTATTGGTCTATCAAAGGTGTCAAATCACAATAACCGCCTCTGACTGAAACACTGATTTAATGGTCGCATCGAAGCTAATATTTACATTCTGAACTAACTTATTTCTCGATCATGCTCCAGAATCAACTTGGCGCAGTCATATTTACAGGTAACCTAGCTCCATGAAAAGGATGGTATGTTTATCTCTTAAATTAGAAAAAATTGTCAAAAGCAAAATGCACTATATACATAGCCTGAATGATTACTCAACCAGAAATGTATTTCTTTTCAACGATTTACATTTCCGTTATTTACAAATATCATTTCGGGGTAAAGAAACCCACGCGAGACCACGTACACATGTAATGCGTAAATAGCTCTGTTCATTTCCTTGTTGCTAAGGACCTATCCTTTCTCGGAATCCCAACAGGCTAGTATGTAAATACACTCTGAGATAAGACATGTTAAGGTACATAAAACGCACATGACAATGATTAATTGGTCTAAGAGTGGTCTCAGAATAAATATTGATTTGACACACACCGCGTGTAACATGATAAAAACTTTTTCGGCACTGAATACAAATCTATCTATGTCACAGTCATCCTATATTCATAAAGTAGTAAAGAATAACGGTCAAGGGAGGCGGAGGGGTGTGTGTGTGGGGGGGGGGGGGGGGGGGGGATGCGGATGAGTAGGTGGGGAGGAAGGGTGTGTGTGTGCAATGGTCATATAAATCAGTAATTTGATAATTCACCACCCAACACATGTAAGGTGCCATAAGATCAGAATATCATATGAGGCAATGATGCATGTTTCCCAATTACGACTTACATCGAATCGATTCAGACCACATTCAATGTCAGGGGATCAAGCTACATAGGACGGTGGATATGACACCTACTCCATTTTGTTTGTTTGTTGTTTAACGCCGCACTCAGTAATATTCAAGCTATATGATGGCGGTCTGTAAATCATCGAGTCTGGACCAGATAATTCAGTGATAGACATCATGAGGATCAATCCATGCCATTTGGATACGATGACATGCATCAACCAAGTCAGCAAGCCTGACTTCCCGATCCCGTTAGTCGCCTCTTACGACAAGCTTAGTCGCAGTTTACAGCAAGCATGGGTTGCTGACGACCCATTCTACACGGGATCTTCACAGATCTCGATCGTTATGTATTGAGGGAAAACTAGATATTCAAGGCCGCGTTTACGTAAAGAAGAACATCTACTTTCGCTTACATTTCGGGGACATATAGAACACAGCTTGGCTCTCTGGCCAAACACAACAGCTTTAAGTTAGTTTGTGACAGTCTGTACTGATTTTGATATGTGATATTGCAAGATCGACACCCAGCTGTGTGCTTATTAATACATGTATCTGAATCACCACGCATTGTAACAAGGCATGTTTCCGCGCTTGAAGCAGATGTATGCGAGGATCCCATTGTAAGTTACCAAGCGAACAGGAAATTCTTCACTTAACGCAAATAGTAATTACACTAGGATTGCGACCGGGTATGAAAACTGAACTCGAGTACGCGGCAGACAATACCCGAACCGGATTCGAGTACCCGTAGTTCAATGTTGTCCCACTTGTTTGTAACGCTTTTGCGAATAAAAGGTCATCAAACATATATTAATCTGTACTAAGGTATTATGTTTTTTATTAAATGCCTGCATGGCTTACCTAAAACCACAAGTGACGCAGAATATCAAAGTAATCTGGCGCCAGTCATTGAGCAGTGTCACCAAAACAGGCGAGAGCGGGAAACGGCAAGATCACATGACTGCCTGACACGTGAGTCATGACATGGGTAATAAATCGATATGTGTCTGAGTGATTTAGGCTTGTATTGTAATTTGTAACATTGCACTATTTCAGTATTTCGTAAAATAATTTTGACAATAATGACAAACATAAGTAACATTAGATTTCAAATTTTTATTAAACAGATCAGCATATTATAGAAACCGTTTAGTTTTATGTTAAAATAGTCCAACAGAACAACTTTTCTGTTGTTATCTTGCTGAAGCATAAAGACAAACTTGCAACTTTGAACAACCTAATTTGTTTTTTAACCAAACAAAAATAAAAAACCCCAGTGATCATGAAAAGTTATCAAACGAATTTTAACTAACACTTGTGGAATGTCATTTGTGATTTCTTATCACTACAACATGGACTTTCTCATTGTACGCCTGTCTCATGGAAAGTACTAAATCATATCTGGTAAGTATAAGATCTAGACTACTGAGAACGGACTTAATTCATGATGATTGCATAACAATCTCCCCTGAACGGGTACTCGAGTCTTGAAAATTGGACTCGAGTCCTAAGCTACCCGAAACGTTATTGGGTACTCGAGTACCCGTCCCAACCCTAAATTACACTAGACCACATACTACGAAACACGAGTTGGTAGTTCGATGTTAGTCCTATAAAGATAGCGTTTGCTGTGTTCTCTGTGCACTGGGTGTTTACCGTGAGAGATTAGGTATGCCGTCACTTTAATTATTTATTATATTGTTTTCAGATATGTGCGTCCTGCACCTGTGCATAGCACCCGATCCCGTTAGTCGCCGATAACGGCAAGCATTGGTTGTGAAGACCTATTCTACCCACACTCTTACTTACTGCTTTGTAATATTCTCAACCAGTTTAACATCGCATCTGTGATATTCTAGTTATTGAACTGTCCATCGTTTGACCGGTTTTCATTTAATCCAAATATGTGTATTATTAATGTATAACTTCTCGTCACGATCTGGCTGAAATACTGCCGATGTGACGTTACATACATACTCACTCACTCACTCACTCTACCCCGGATCCTAAAGGGTCCCTACTTCATTAATTAAATAGAGAACTCTAGTTTGCCTTTCTCCATGAACACTCTTATGCAAAGTGCGTTAAGGTTCTTATTAGATTACAATTCCTTTGACGTGAATTTGTGATTTGTTCAGATTTAGCACAATCGAGGCACCAATGTTGCTGATGCGGTGAACCACAAACGCCAGAGCATAAAAGAATCGAGTATTATTATCCGCAGAACAATATTGTTGAGGCGTAAAAGACAAAACAGCGGTGACAATTTGAATGGATCACTAAAAGTGATGACACCAGGTGTTCGCGAAAAGGGGAAGTATGTCCTACTAATAGCATTTGGGCAGTAACATGTTTCTGTAGACTCATCGCACTGGGGAAACAGCTGACACACACGGTTTGGACACTTTAGACAGAAAGTTTTACCGTTGTGACAGATGCCTAATCATCCTCACACTCGATGTGCAGCAAAGTAAATGTTGACACATTTTCTTGAACCACAGAGTTTCAACAGGAAAAACATTTACATCGTACACTCACCTCCATAATGTCAAAATATTGTCCACAGTTGTAAGTGATTATCACGTGTTCAGTGTGTCGAGTATTGCTTGTAGGTTTCTATCTAGAAACAAAAGAAAAGCGGGGTAAATTTAAGAATGTGAGTTGGTTCCTGTCAATTTGAGTGAATGGTTTGTTAAAGACCACTTTAAACAACAATTCAGCAGTTTAGTTAGGGTTATAAGTGGGATTACTGACACCTGGTGTTACAAGTGGCCCAGTTGTCTAGAGCAAGGTGATATGCACAGTTGCGTCCTTTAGAAACATATGATCGTGTTTTTAAAAAAACCCAGAATCGCCCTGAGTTTAATACTGTACAAATCGGTGTTTATCTCAATTCTCAACATTAATACACGTGCTAGACGTTTAACACCTTGGCGCATGTGTATGGTGCTTGGTTATAATAAATGATACACAGCTGGAATCTGGGCTATGCCCTGCACTGAGGTTTTCGAAGGAGTATGATACTTCTAGCAAGTTCTATCTGAAACAATATAATGCAATAACCTAACTGACAAAATTAATATTTGATGATACTATGTTGATTTGTAATGAACTTAATAATGTGACCACAGGGGTCAATCACAAAGAAATCATATTGCTGTAAACTGTAAACTGAAATCGCCCTAGCCAGGTTACAGGTCATGTTAACCTAGACACGATCCCTCATAGTCATACCTTCCATGCGTCTACACGAAGACCAACACCATCACGCATGTACTCTCGCATTGGAGTTACTCGGATATTGCGGCTGTTTTACAGCTCGTTGCGATGAGCTAATGCGTGCATGTTATGATGTACCTTTAATCTAACAATATTAGGGCGGGCTGTAAATAATCGGTTCTGGGCCAGGCAAACAAGTGTTTGATAATATGAGTAACGGATCATTTTAAAGCAAGTCTCTTGAGTGTGTGTAGTTTGCACTGTCTCGCCAGGATGGTTATAAAGTTCACAATACACAATGATATTATATACACAAAAGCATGGAATGTTGGATTTGAAAAGCAGCTGTGGAACCAATGTAAGTGTCATCGGCACCCACCGTAATGATGCACATGCAGTAACAACGTTCAAATACGAACCCTCGAATATGTTCGTATTAGCTCTCTCTCTCTCTTTCTCTTTCTCTCTCTTTCTCTCTCTCTCTCTCTCTCTCTCTCTCTCTCTCTCTCTCTCTCTCTCTCTCTCACACACACACACACACACTCACACACACACTCACACAGGTTAAAGCTGAAGCCAGATTAATTCGTTGCAAGTTTACCCAGTCTAGTCCATATTAAATTCATACCTTCTATCCCCGTGTATAGCGATTCCTGTCCAATCTAAGACTTTAATATATTATCCGGTTGAAAGATAAGAGTGAGTGATTTATTAAAATTTAACGGCCCATCGGCATTATTTAAGTCATATATCAGTAATATGCCTCTTGCATCCCAAAATATGGTGGCCATTACCTTGCCAGCCGATGGTTGAGTTCGAAACTTCCTCGGAAGGCGGAGAATTTCGGTGCCTCCATTGCATGGATTCCAGTTTAGTTTCTTGGTCCTAGCGGTACATCCATGTTTCATCACCTGTCACCAGACGAGAAAGAAATCCGGTTCCGACAGCAGTATAGAGATCCAGGAGTTCTCGACAACTTTCAGACCAGTTGCAAACTGTGGAATAGTCAGGAGCATCTTTACCCATCACTTTACACATGCGATCATGGATTTCTTTTGCTTTGCATCCCTCCTTGGTAAGAAACTTTATTACAGCGCATTGTTCATGTTTGAGAGAATCCATGATTGTGACTACCCTTAGGTGAATGAAGCCATCAAAACTAACTTGAACTTGTTATGACACGTGTCAACCTGATGTTATGACAAGTGTCCGGCCACAAGTTGACATTGTTTGTGTAAACACAAATGTCCAAGTTGCAAACTTATTGAACGCCCCTCGTAGATATAATTTTATCCAACGTTATCAATCAGTAATCATAGAAGTAACATCATAATGAATAAAGTGATCATTAAGTAACGGAAGTAGTAATGACAGGTGTCGACACTGAATTCTAGCAGAGGCAATGTGAGAGACGTACTGGTTGTATGTCAGACATGACAGAGGACAACACAGAGGACTACACAGAGGACAACACAGAGGCCCAAACGTTATTTCCTCCATTCCAAACACCTTCCACCAAGACGTTTTCAACCACTGTCTCTTCCACGACTCCAGTTGCCAAAGTGTCAATGGCCTCTTATCAAACTGCCATCTTTTTGGATAAACGATGACCAATTGCCGTGATAAAAATTACCAAATATTTCAAAATAACCAAGTGATATTGACATCTGCTTTCGAAACAGAGAATCTTCTAACTCAATTTAAACATCAAACACAACACATGAAATTATAACATGGTGAAGCCCATTTATAATAGAGCCGATGCACTCCAGCATTTGGTGATGCCTTCTATCACAACCTTTGTAAAGGTTCATAATTCTTTTGAACCTCCTGAGATGGAGGTTAGTCCTTAGTCTGCTTATATAATTATTTGTAGTTTCACTATTGCTTGTTTTAAAAGTAAACTAAAACTAAAATCTTAATAAATGTTCTTATAAATTGTAGAAATGGTTTAACATACATCTACACATAAGATCCGTGAAGATCCGGGATAGAATAGGTCTTCAGCAACCCATGCTTGCCGTAAAAGGCGACTATGCTTGTCGAGGCGACTAACGGGAGGTCAGGCTCGCTGACTTGGTTGATGCATGTCATCGATCCAAATTGTATGGATTGATGCTTATGATGCAAAGCACTGGATCGTCTGGTCCAGCCTCGATTATTTACAGACCGCCATTGTAAAGTTAGTGAGTGAGTTGTGTTTAACGCCGCCTTTAACAGTATTCCTGTTATAAAACGGCGTGTCAGCTTAATGTGGGAGGAAAGCCCGAAGTGATGCAGGTCTCAGACGTTTATCACTTCGGTGAAACCCACGAGCACGGGTATGGTGATGACAAACCTAGAAAAGTAATCGGGGCGAACCGGGATTCGAACCAGGACGCAACTCTGCTCAGCGAATCGCGGCGCCTTAGACGACAGGGCCACCCGTGTCTCTTTTTGGTAAACCCCCCCCCCACACACACACACCCCGAAATGTATAAAATAACAATTATTGTTTTGTTACATACGTTATGCGGGGCTCGTCTGGCATCAGCTCTTCTCCATATATCCTGTGTGAAGTAGGAGAAGCAACATGTCCACTCACACGGGAATGTGGTCCTTTGGCAAATAAAAACATCAATACTTAATTAAAAGGTACGTCACATGTTTATCCATTTGCAATATTAATGAATAGTTTACTACCAGATGAATAACCGCACATCAGGTTTAATGGAATTCATTCCTGGAAGGTTTGGAGCGAAAGCTGTTATCCTCTCACAGTAGCAGCATCTGGAAATAAATGGAACATCCTGTCGTACGTAGTATGCTTCTTGTCGGGAAGGAGTGAAGATACGTGACGGAACATCTCTCTGCCCACAAATGTGTGAATGATGAACACTTGAAGGAACATTATAATTGGCACCCCTGCTGTTCCATCGCTATGAATTACCTCAGCGTCGCAGAGATGACGAATGTTGTCTGTTGCGAATCCCATTTTGTCTTAGTCACCGTCGTCTATTAGCAGAAAACCATCACCACCCTCTGTCTTGCAGAGCTGGTCTGTAGTTCTAAGTAGTGTCTAGTAGTGGGTCACTGTGGAAACATCTTCTTTTTGGCTCGGTAGAGGGTGTAGATGTGAAATGTTGGCATGGCCTCCTCACTCCACTCTCTCCCTCGCAATTTGTTTGACCTCTTCTCGGTAAAGGGATGGCAAAGACGTGGTTGTTGTGCAGCCCAATTCTTTGTGATATCCATGGCTACCTGCACCTAAAACATTAAATTGCGTTGTTAGTTTTTTTCAATATAACCATTTTTGTCATTATTTTATTTACATGAGTTATGACATTCGTTGTGGACACTATTGCAGGACTATTCTTGCATGTCTCTTCTTGATTGGTGATGTAAGGCGACGCAAGTCGCTGTGCAGAGTTGCCTCCTATGATAATGTGTTCGAATCCCGGGTCGCCCCGATTTTGTTTCTAGGTGTGTCAGCACCCGTGTCGTGGGTTTCACCAAGACGGTAAACGACTAAGACCTGTATCACTTCCGGCTTTCATCCCACTTCATGCTGACACGCCGTGGTATAACTGGAATCTTGTTCAAAGCGGCGATAAACCTAACTAACTCACTCACTCACGTTCTGCTTGTTTGATTTGAAGATGTATCCTCGAAAAACATGGAATACGTTCATCGCGATGAGATGGGATAAACTTCCCTTCTAACTGTATGTTTGCCATGTTGCAAGTTCACAGACTATTTGCACAGGCTCCACCTACTATATATATTCTGTACAATGTCCTTCATTCAGTCTTGCTTGACAAGGGCATGGAGATCTGTACCGAAACGTCGCCTTTACAGTATTAAAGTTGTTATCCATAAATTGTGTCTACTTTGTCATATGTGAGTCATGTAGTAATTGCTGACTGTATACTTTTTGTTTGTGTGGAGTGAATGAGAGAGACATACAATATAAAAAATAAATATGATCCTTTACCAACATAATATCTCAGAAATGGTACAGTGATATTGTGTAATTTCACCGTAATCTGTGTCTGTGTAAGTGCAAGTGAGTTGTCTCCCCTCTTACTGGAAGTATGGAGCGCATTTAAATATACACCATTAAGCTTGTCAGAATCATCACCACTACCTTATTCAAATCACAAGGAATATGTTTGTTTGTTTGTTTGTCGATCTATACATAATCGAGTAAGAACCAGACAAGAATCCAGGGATTGACATTATGAAAGTCGTTCTATGCAATTGGGATATGATGACATCCATCAACCAAGTCTCCTCTTTCGACAGGCGTGGGTTGCTGAAAACCAATTTTAACCCAGAATCGTTAACGTCTAACGGTCCACAGAGATTATCTCGCCCGAACGGAATTAAAGATTTTTAATTAGGAAATTGTAAAAAAATTATCTTCTTTGATACATCGATTCCATACTAGAACAAATTCTGGACGCGATCGATTCATCTACCAAGACGCTAATGTCAGAGTTAATGAAGAAATACTTCCACCATAACGTTGGACTCGGAATATCC